CTCTCCCACGGTCTTGGTCTTGGTATTGGTCTTGCAGCAAGAGTTTTCAAAAATTGCAATTACCTATTAGTCTATTGCTATTTATTATAAGTTTATATATACTTACAAGAATAAATTATTATGACATCTACTACCTATCCTTACCATTTTATCCTAATCATAATACTACTTGCGTGATCTATAACCATGTACTTCCTAAAAGCGTATTTTTTTTTGAGGAGTAAGTACAAAACCTTTGATTCCGCATTATCAAAGTGCCGATGGTTAAAACATAACTATGCATGCACTCAGTTGAATTTTAATGGATAACTTTTTATTGGGGATGTAGGTATTTATTTATTTATTTACTATAAGGTAGGCTCACATCTTATGTATGAGTGGTTTAAAGTATTGATTATAGACAGTAGGTCATATACATTAGCCAGTTACGAGCTAACCAACATTCTAAAAAATATGCGTTTATGCAGTCAAAATATATAGAAATTAAAACTAGAACTAAATAAATTAACATAGGTAGGACAATCATATTAAAGTATTAACAAAACTAAATAAAAATAAAAATTTGATATGGGCTACCATTTATAAATTTAGAATTAGTTAGGTATGTTTATGGTATTAGTCGTAATGCGCATAGGTCCATACAGTTTTTGCGTCCCATAGAATTCCTAAGCGTACCTATACACCGACCTGTTGTTACACCTAACTACTCTGTGAAATAGCGCTAAGTCCTAGCTGCAAGACGCAGGACTCTTGCAAGCTTAGTCTTGTTCTTGCTCAAGTCTTGCACTTGCAAAAACGCAAGAACAAGACTAAGACTAAGACTGACCGTGCAATTGACTGACTTGAATTTGGGCAACACTAATTTCATCAGTCTTTCGGATAGCCATTTTCTGTTGGCCATTTTTGCTCCAACGTTTCCGCATGTCTAAGAGTCGCGTGGCGAAAAATATCTTATTCTCGCCGTTCTTGGTTTGAACCAAGGTCCCAGCAGCTCTTTGAGCTACGTAATGTTGAGTATTTAAAAACCACCGCGCTTAACTTTGCTATTTAGTTTTAGCTGCTTTTTAAGATGGCGCCTCAAAGAGCCAATAAACGTGATCTGAAATGGTGGCCAATGACCGCAACCGCGGCTTGAAACAGAGAGAAGTTTTTGATGATTTTCGCCTTCAAAAAAATTTACTTTTGGCTTCTAGCGACTTTCTTAGCACGAGCACCGATAGGCATTGACCCTATATCAGATTTGTGTTTTTAGGCATATTTCCAATTAAAATAACAACGTATTCTTATTTTAAGATTAAGGATATGTCTGACTCACACACACACACATACACAACCAAGTTTTAAACCAAGTAGAAACCAACTTACTAACGACCATTTAAAATAACAAACAATACGTACTAAACGAACTACCCTGTTCGAGACTAAGAAGTTTCAAAATATTAGAATCAAAACTTTCGTTTGAATTTTCCAACGCCTTAGAACATCGAACCAACCATAAACCATGATATAAACTTTTAGACACGACGCAGACGACAAATTAGCAGAGAAAAGGTTGGGCACGCTGTTATAGCAGCGGAAACACCCCTCTTTGAGGAGTGGCTTGAGAGATGCCATGGCGTCCTCACCTTCCACCTGACGCAGATGCTTACCAAACACAGCAACTCCGCCACAATCACATAAAGATCCGAGAAGAGACAAAAATAAAAATAAGAGAGAAAAGGTGCAAGGGTCATGGTAGGAAGGCAAGGGTATCACAGAAAATGTCATCTACACGTACAAAACAGTATTTTCTAAACTGGACGACTATATGGCATCCTCTAAAAGACACATTTTATGTTTGACAAATGGTTATTGTGTTTTAGTTATTTATTTTGATAGTAGGTACATGTTTTTTTACCTGTTTTCAAATATTTGAGTCAGCCGAGGCCGAGAGCAAACACACGGTTAATAGTCCAAATTTGAAAGCCATAGTCCACTAGAAAGCCATTGAACTAAAATACGAAATAACTCATTTGATATAAAACTAGCTACTCTCGCGCAGTTTCACCCGCTGCTCAACTTCATTTGATCGCAGCGTGATGTTTTATAGCCTTTAGCATCAGGAACATTGTGGCTACCTATCAGTGAAAGAATTTTGGCAATCTGACCAGCGGTTTCAAAGATTAATTACCCCAAAATACATACAAACTTACAAATTTTACCTCTTTATAATATTAGTATAGATAAGCGCCAGTCAAAATAATGTGGGCAATATACATTTCCACGTTTGCTTCCGTTTATGCAACAATTGGGTTGTTTCCTATGTCAAAAATAAATTATTTCGACGTTTCAATACAATAAAATATTGAAAATTAGCTATACTTTCATCGATCAAAGTACTGAATTTTAGATAATTTTTTAGCTGATTTTTAAGAAATAAGTAAACTATTTGACGCTAAAAAAACTATGACGTCATAACTCAGTTTTTCATACAAATTTCATAGAAAAGTTTCTGACATTTGGATAAAATTTGACTAGTGGGAAACTATCGTAATTTAGTTACTGTTCTGCTCCTATTCGTCATAGCGGGGTGTTACATAAAGGTGTAATCGAATGTATGTGTTATAAATGGAGAAAAATAAGCAATATATATTATTAACTTTCAAGTTTACTAAATAATGAAGTACTGTAGATTAATCAGGGGGCTGATGTAAGTCAAACTACTAGTAATGTTTTACTGATTATATTTCATGTTTATGGAAAATAGGTTCTTTATTCTATAGTTATTTTTAAAAACAAGCTTTTCTACACAAAAACATGTATTTAATCATAATCACACATCATACACCATGATATACCACATTGTATAAAATATATATAAAATAAAATATAAGATAATACAAATGTTTCATCACTTTTACTGTACAAAATGTTTAACAAAAATAGCAACAAAATAACAGTATTAGTACTTAACTCTGTATCGGTGTATACTCCTTTGCAGCAAGACAAAAAGTGATCCGAAAGTCACTTGTACTTACCCTTTATACCTTTCTACCCACATAAGACAATTTATCAATTAATTAACTATTAAATCTTAAAGTTGTACCGAAAATATAAGAAATATATTATACTATCCGCAAACACAATTTTAAATAATAATTTACATATAAAATAATATTAGGCTAATTGTATTTAACGAACATAATTAATTGCGAAAAATATTACAACTTCCGGCAACAGTTTTAGAGTTTCTATTTAATAACAATATTTCGTAATTTATAATTCAATTTTACGTTACTTATCATATGCATTGTAAAATTATGATAAATTGTCTTTAGGTTATAAATTTCCTATGTTTGTAACTTATTTGAGAATGGTGTACACTATGATTCGTAATATTATCATGCCTTGAGTTCATGAAAATGACGATAACTTTTTTTTAAATAATCGATTTTGATTAAACAAAGGTTCAATGTTATTCTACGTTAAAACAAAGCAAATAGTGAAAGTTCCAAATCGGTAACGTACTTTTGGAGATAAACGTGAACATACTTAAGAACAGACAGAAACAAAAAGTTTTTTGTTTTCTAATAATCTTTTTTTGACTGAAATGGATATAGGGGCCAATATTATGTTTATGTGTTTTGATTTTGATTCACAAACACTTTAGTGTTAATTGCGGATCTATTGATTCGCTGGGAAACCCACGCGTTAGTTGATGAATTATTATATTTATGTACACACATACATCCTATTCATAATATAGATGAGTACAGTGACAAATGTAATCATCTGGTTACCAAGGTAAACAACAAATTTATGGAAGTATAATGTTGTTCAAGTGCGCGCCCACCGTACTATGTGCATTCCTTGTATCATCTTGAAGATCCATCTCAATTTTACCTTTGTCAGAATAAAATCCAGTCGCATAATTGCCCACTGGACGTTATGTAGTTGCACAATATTTCTTAAATGAGTAATGTTTTATGATCATCTCTCGATACAGCCCAGTCATTGTGGTTTTAAGAAGACAAGGATTAACAAGTAAATGATTAAGAAGCTGGTACAATTCCATATGGGCTTATAATAGTATTAACTAGGTACATTTAGTGCGGTGATTTATTGTGCACCAAACCGAGTTGTGGGTGTATATAATCTATATTCAATATAATCTAAATTCAATGGGTGTATATAAATCAATGACACTTTTTGTTGTATTGCCTAAACTCAACAATGCCTTTGCCGATTTGTCTAATTTTGGTCTAGTTATTCGTGGAAGTCCAGAAAAGTGTAAAATCTGGAAATGTTGAAAGTTTGATCTGCTATTTTGTAACTATTTACTGATAGTATTATGTTTTTCATGTGATAGGGCGGCAAACGGGCAAATGGATTAAATTTTGGGAAGCAATAGGAGACTCCAATGGACACCTGCGACTCCAGAGCAGACCATTGGATGAGGGTTTAGGATATTTAGGGATTGGGGACGAGGAAAAAGGACCTCCAGTAATATCTAATAATATCTATATATATATAATATCTATCTATATATTATAATATCTAATATCACTCAGACGGCAAAACACAACACTGGCAGTTCACGCTGGTTTCCTGTGACAACTCCTTCGTGCGGAAGAATGGCTCTGCCACATTTAAATTTTTCATGAATTTAACGTTCCTATTGTTTTAGGATAGTGTTATTAGGAAATTTTTGGTTGTGTGTATTACGATATGGGCAACCTAGCCTTTTAAGAATAAAAGGAGTGTTAATGACAACACGACTTGACACTGTTCTGTTATTTTAACACAAAAAACAAACTAAATTGTTGTAATTATTTTGTTTAGAATAATTTTGTTTGTTTTTAAATGGGTTTTTAAATAATGAAAATAAATGGTTTTAAATATATATACAACTAGGGGAGATACAAAAACACTATGTTAGTTCTTACTTAATACATATAATTTAACGTGTTAAAATAATCACAGATGTCAATATGACATTTGTGATTTGGACACTCATTATATTAGCGTCCCCAACCGCCACCACCCCCCCAACCGAAGCCGCCGCCGCTGCCCCAGCCGCCGCCGCCACCGCCGCCGCCACCGCCGCCGCCGCCGCCGCCGCCATAGCCGCCGCCGCCGCCGCCATAGCCGCCGCCGCCGCCATAGCCGCCGCCGCCGCCGTAGCCAATGCCGCCACCGTGACCGCGGCCGTAGAGGCCGCCGCCGGGGCCGTAGCCGCCGTAACCTCCACGATAATACTTTTTATGTCTACGGAAACGGGACTCCGCGGTCTGTAACCCCTCGTCGGCCGCCGCAACTGGGGCTATCCCCTCTGCTAATTCACCCGGCGCCGCTTCTACAGGTATGGCCAAAGCGTACGCCATACATGTAGCCACCAAAATACATATACACAGCAACTGCAATAAACAATATTTCATCCATCTATAATTTGTGCACAAGATAAAGTTGATAGCGAGGGCTTTTTCGACGCTTCGTTCAGATTCAGAACATTCGACAGAAAAACTGACAACAAAAAAGAGGATTGATCATAATTATAATATGATAAGTGACTGGCAGAAAATACTTCTAGCATTAAGTCCTGATATACACAATTTAAAATAAAGAATAAAAAAATTAATTATTCTATTCCACGAATCTATTTTTAAACCGATAAAAAGCATTATGTATTTTTTTCAATTGTTTCATTATTTCGGATTACATCTTTTGAATGTTATGAAATGTATATTTTGTGTAATGATGGAATTAAATGGTGTAGGATCGTGTCTACTTACAGTCTTCATTGTTACGAATTCTGTTCACCAATGTTGTTGATGGAAGCTCGTAGAGTCGTATATATATGCCCGCCGGGACGTGCGCTACTGCTCTGACTCAGCGCGCAGGTAAATAACCGCCAAACTAAAATAATTAACACAGAAATTGAAGAAAAAAGACTAATCAAAGTGACCGCTACCCGTTTTATAAATGCTAGATCAATTTTATTACTACGAATATCATAAATGAAATGAATTCATGAGAGCTATGCTTCGGCACGAATGGGTCGGCTCAACCGGAGTGATACCACGGCCTCACAGAACGCCGGCGTGAAACAACCACAACGTTGTGTTTCGCCGTGTTAGTGAGGTAACCAGAGAGGCCCAATCCTTCACCTCCCCCAATCCCTTTTGGGGGAGGGGAAGGATAGAGCCTCTCTAGGGAATGAGGGTTTTCTGAAATGTTCCCCCCTTGTGAGATGGCAGCGCTGTAACGTCAGGTCCAACTACCTGTCATTTTGACAGGTAGTTGGACCTGACATACAGGATTTATATTTCTCGATCATTTTTTTGGTTTTTTTATTCTTAAGAACGTACAAATGGAATATTGTTTTCCAAAAGCCACAGAAATAAAAAAAGAGGACATAAGTACCTACAGAACCCCTACAGAAGATAAAAACCGATTAAAACAGTGGCTTGTAGCCATAATAAAATCACTTCCAAATACTTACATAAAATTTTACTAAAATAATAATACTTTCGGTAAGAATCTGTGCTATCTGACAGCTGTTTGGATCTGACGCATACGAAGCGCCGCCTGGCGGCAGAAAAAGTATCGAAAGCCCTGATTGGGATTGGGCCCCCAATCCCTAAATCTCCAAATTCTTAATCCCGAAAAGGTCGGCAACGCACTCGTAACTCCTCTGTTGTTGCGGGTATCCATGGGCGGCGCTTATCATCAGGTAATCTGCTCGTTTGCCGATTAATCACATAAAAAAACTGATTTTGATGTAAGCAAATCTGATTTACGAAAATATTGCGTTTCTGTAGCAGGATGTCTGGTTTAGTTTCGTTTTCAGGGCAGACGTTTCAGCACCGATGATTCAGCACATTGCGAGATTTGTAGAGTAAGTAGCTTTGACTCCGACCTTGGCACCTTTAGACAAAAACTGTGTGGTTGGCTACGTCACGTGTGTGTTTTTTTTATAAAGGGAAAAGCATCAAATGACGTCTCCCACCCAGGGCCGGGCGGGAGGGAGTGTCAGTCTCTTACTGACTAAAAACCCCGTCTGTGGTGGTCTATTGGCTCCTCGAGGCGCGCGCGGAACGCTGTGCGCCCTACGCTCTACTCGCCGTCTGCAGACCCACGCTTATGGTGGCCGGAGATCGTCTCTCGATCCCCGACGCCCGGAATGTCGGCTAATGCGGCGGCTGGGGCGCGAGGAGGATAGTTCTCTGCCTCCTCCTTTGCGGGCATCACTACTTCGCAGAAAGAGGAGACGGTTTCCCAGCTCCTTTCGCTACGAACCATGGCCTCGACTAAGGCCGCGCGAGAGCCGCCGATCACTTCCCCGAGGACACGGCGGTGCTCAGCCCAAGCAGGTTTGCTCCACCGCCACCGTATGATCCACCGTTTCCTCTAGGTGGTCCTCACAATGAAGACATTCCGGGGTTTCCTTCCGCTGGATCCGGAACAGGAACCTACGGAAGCTACCGTGCCCGGTAAGCACCTGCGTCAGGCGAAAGGTGAGGACGCCGTGGCGTCTCTCAAGCCACTCCTCAAAGAGGGGTGTTACCGCTGCTATAACAGCGTGCCTGACATCATTCGTACGTGTGTAATTGCTTCAAAACTTACATAATATATTCTAACTTTATAACATTTGTGTGAAAGAGTATTTACTCTGTTCTAAAGTACTTTAGTTCCACGATAATATAGATAACATTTTTTTTATTTAATTTCAATCAGTTTATTTCCGATTGTTTTTCGATCTTTTTTTTGTAGTAAGATTATCCTGCCTTTGTTTTATAATTTAAGTTTTTTTTCTATAAATGACGTGTTCTTAAAGTTTTTTTTTTTATTTATTACTTACGAGTACCTTTCTTATGATTGTATATTATGGAAATTTTGGTTAATAATGTTTATTTGTTTTGATTTTGATTCACAAACACTTTAGTGTTAATTGCGGATCTATTGATTCGCTGGGAAACCCACGCGTTAGTTGATGAATTATTATATTTATGCACACACATACATCCTATTCATAAAATAGATGAGTGCGATGACAAATGTAATCATCTGGTTACCAAGGTAAACAACAAATTTATAGAAGTATAATGTTGTTCAAGTGCGCACCCACCGTACTATGTGCATTCCTTGTATCATCTTGAAGATCCATCTCAATTTTACCGTTGTCAGAATAAAATCCAGTCGCATAATTGCCTGAAATTAGGAAAAAAAATGAGTAATGTTTTATGATCATCTCTCGATACAGCCCAGTCATTGTGGTTTTAAGAAGACAAGGATTCACAAGTAAATGATTAAGAAGCTGGTACAATTCCATATGTGCATATAATAGTATTAACTAGGTATATTTAGTGCGGTGATTTATTGTGCACCAAACTGCAACAGGTAGCCGGAGTTGCGGGTGCATATAATCTATATATATATACCTATATATAAATCAATGCCACTTTTTGTTGTAATGTCTAAACTCAACACTGCCTTTACCAATTTGTCTAATTTTGGTCTAGAATTATTCGTGGAAATCCAGAAAAGTGTAAAATCGACATATAGGCGGGTGAGGCCACGGGCGACCGCTCGTATTTAATTATAACGTGGAAATGTGTTGACTGCACGGTTGGCGCGGTGGCTGGGCAACTGGCTGCCGCGCAACGTGTCGCGGGTTCGATTCCCGCACGGAAAAAAATCTTGTGTGATCTACAGTGTCTGGGTGTGATGTGCATGTGAAATTGTATGTTTGTAAACGCACCCACGACACAGGAGAAAATCCTAATGTGGGGCAACGTTTTTTCTAAAAAAAAAAAAAAAAAAAGTGGAAAGTTTAATCTTCTATTTTGAAACTATTTACTGATAGTATTATGTTTTTTATGTGATAGAGTGGCAAACGGGCAGGTGGATTAACTGTTGGGAAGCAATAGGCGACTCCAAACGACACCTGCGACTCCAAAGCAGTCCTTTCGATGAGGGTTTAGGATATTTATGATGTTCACGCCGGTTTTCTGTGAGGCCGTGGTATCACTGTGGTCGTGGTATCGACCCATTCGTGACGAAGCATGGCTCTTCCACACTGAGTTACACGGCTTGACACAGTTCAGTTATTTTAACACAAAAAAACAAACTAAATTGTTTTAATTATTTTGTTTGTTTATAATGTCTGGAAATTCCTTTTCGGGTAATTTATAGACATCATATTTTTTTTATTTGTTGGACAACAACAACAACATGCGTGCTTACCTTGTTTTTTGAAGAATATTTTTTCCTTACAAGTGATTTTACATATAATTATAAGGAATTGCGTATGCTAAAACTACGTTAAAACTTACCATACTAGGTACATTAAAACGTATTTCTAGTTTTCCAACATTTATTAGGATAATATTATTGTTATTATTTGATAGGTACTCTACTATGCAAATGAAGTACTTAAAGAATTGAATTAATAATTAGCAGATCTTTGATTTAATTACCACATGATTATCTTTTTTGTATATTATTTACTGTAGTTTTTCCCAAACGCTGCTTCGCTATAAGTAAGCTTTTTGCCTAAAAAATATTATGACGATATTTGGATAAAAGTATTGAATTTGACTAATTGGAGTTTCCAACTAGCGTATTCATTGTTGCATTTCCAACCATTCGACTAAAAAAGTATACTAAAACATACCTAAATATGAATATAGAAGATAATTTATTATAACATTATACTCATTTACGAAATAAAACTATTACACAATAAAAACGGATTTTAATGGTACAACTTATTTCAAATTTTAATTTAATAGGATTGGTTGATTTTTTCACTTTATTGGTTTGCAACGAACTAAATGAGAAAAATAATAATTAGTGGTTCGACTTCATAGCGAATTCCTGATTTAATTTATATGTGTTAGAGTTTATAACTCGTGCTATCGCATCATCTAAATGTAATTAGTAGTTTATTGTCTGTGTATGTATATATAAAACGAAATCCTGTTGTCACACTTTTATAAAGCTAAGTAATGAAAGGATTTTAATGATGTCAGGAAACTATTTGTGTTTTACTGAAGCATAATTTTTTAGGAGGGCTCGTACCCATGCTCAAATATGAAATACTTTTTTTTGTGAGGGGAAATTCTTCAAATGACTTCTCCCATCCAGGGTTGGGTGGGAAAGAGTGTCAGATTCTTACTGACTAAAACCCGTTCCTCCTCCTGGTCTGGGCCGAGGTGACTCATTGCGCTCTACTCACAACCCCGGCTAAGCCCAATAGGGCCCCGTCCGTGGTTGTCTATTGGCTCTTTAAGGCGCGCGCGGGTACGCGCTTGGGAATTTTGAAATACTTATCTCTATAATTTGTTAGCAGTTCATAGGGAATTAAAAGTTGTGGTAAAATTATACTTAAACGAGTGGTCTGCTTTTAGTCGCTACAGCATTACATAAAGTTTTGATTAAGTCGCTAAAAATAATGGCGAACACTTGTTACAATGTTGGTTACTTTTGTTTTAAATATACAAGACCAGATTTTTTTCTATGGAAACGTCCTTCGGACCCGATCACTAAATAAAGGAACCGATCCGATCACTAAATGGTGATCAGCGCCATTGCTGAACCCCCTCAAATATAGAATTTCGAGTTCTGAGTTCTTTCTGGGATTTGGGGTTTTGGGAATGGAAGAGGTTTTAGCATTTCACACACAGAAATATTATTCAAGCGTCGTTATCCCACAGGTTTTCTATGTGGCATCTCTCCTGTCGAGCCGGACCTTTAGTGTCGAAGCACGCAATGGAGAAATATATGACGGCTCATTTTAAGTACTTTACTTTTCTATATTCCTGATTTTTGATTACATACGTAGTCCTCTCGTAGTTTAGCACGCTTAAAACTAAGTTTAATATCTCCAGCTAGGCTCAAAATCTACTACAAAAGTACGTAGTACTACAATACAGTACAGCTTTATACTATCAAATTGTCTTGTTGGTGGGATTTATGGCTTAAGTAACGTTCTTATCTTTCAACCTTTTACAACGTGACAAGATTTAGTACTCACCATTTACTGTTTTACCCTAGTAGGTATTCTTGAATGTAGCTAGTTTTTTATTTAAGTACATTCCCAAACAGAGTGAATTATTGTCGGATAAAAACAAAATGTTCTCTCGATAAAATCTTACGCACAAAATTGGACAAGTTTTTCGTATGTAATTTGTACTCGTAAATGCTTAAAATGCCGACAAGATGTTTCCCTTAAACTGGATATTTGCGAGCCAAAAAAATCAGAATAATAAAATGAATTGACTTAATATGTAGGAGTACCTATTGAAGAAGATATCCTTCACCTTTTATTGAACTACCAAAATAACGAATTGAATAAAGAAATCCGCAATAAGTTATATTATTAAGTTATTGCATTTGTAAAGGCATTGATAGATTGGTAGTCAATTTAAAATTAAAATGATTACCTCTTGGGAAACTAATTTTTTATATAGTGCATAGGATTAAACATACGTGTTAAGTGTGGGAGAGCCAAGCTTCGGCACGAATGGGTCGGTTCGACCGGAGTGATACCACGGCCTCACAGAATACCGACGTGAAACAACCACAGCGTTGTGTTTCGCCGCGTGAATGAGGTTACCGGGGACCCAATCCTTCCCCTCCCCCGATCCCTCCCAATCCCTAAATCTCCAAAACTCTAATCCCTTAAAGGTCGGCAACGCACTCGTTACTCCTCCGTTACGGGTGTCCATGGGCGGCGCTGATTACTTACCATCGGGTAATCCGTCTGCTCGTTTGCCGACCTAAAAAAACACGTGTATCATTTTTCTTTCGTAAAAATCTCGTTCAATGACGAGATAAATATTATAAGCTCGGGAAAACCATTGTCTTATGCGTAGTATTTTTTACTTTTATCGATAACTAGCGGCCCGCCCCCGCTTCGCACGGGTCCAACTATCTCAATATCAAAGGGTTACTTTTTCCCAATATTCCCGTCTACTTTTCTTCTATTTTCTTTGATTCCTTACCTTCTCCTGAAAATAACAAACACAACAAAAAAAAGAATTAGCAAAATTGGTCCAGGAGTTGTTGAGTTATGCGCTTACCAACACATTTTGCGATCCATTTTTATATATAAGATACGTGATATTATATGACATTTTTACAAATAAGTTGGGGTGGACAATAAGTTGGCGTATTTATTTCTAAGTTCTTCTGTACCTAAAATCTGCAATAAACCCATCTTTCTGTTAATGAGCAAGACGTATACCTACAACATGATTGAATTTGATGACGGATCATAACTTAGATACAACATTTTAAAGTAAGTAATAAATTGTCAAATATTGTAAACGAGGCTATTGAACCTTCTTGGGCAATGCTTGGAACTTTTCCTTTCCTTCCTTTTGCGGAAAAAACAATTGTTACCATTACAGGTAATATAACAGTGAATAAATCAATTATTATTGTTTATTTAATTTATCAATTGTTTTTGAAAGAAAGGCAATTGAAAAGTTTAGGGCTACCTTCATAAATGAGTGTCAAGTTCACGACTTTTATGTTCATTGTCAGGTATTGCGTCACTACTCTTTGCATAAGGCAAAGGACCGATTTGAACATAGATTGTTAAACAGATTATTAATACAACTTACCGTATTTTTTTTAATTAGTAACTAATTCTTTTTTTAGGATACTGGTATTTTTTTTTACTGTGATATGTCGGCAAACGAGCATACGGATTACCTGATGGTAAGCAATCAACGCCGCCCATAGACATCTGCTACGAGTGCGTTGCCGACCTTTTGGGGATTAGGGATTTGGAGATCTTGGGAATGAGGAGGGAAAAGATTGGGCATCCGGTAACCTCACTCGCAAGGCGAAACACAACGCTGTGGTTGTTTCACGCCGTTTTTTGTGAGGCCGTGGTATTACTCCGGTCGAGTCGACCAATTCGTGCCGAAGCATGGCTCTCCCACACTTAAAAGAATAATAAAAATATGTTAAAAAATATTTTTTTTAATTAATTAACGATTACATGTTTGTTAGCTTATAGGTGTAGAGTTAGAAACAAATTAATAAAACGATTAGGTCTCCATTATATTAACATAAATACAAAAACTATAATAAATAAGGATGGAATCGGTGTTTTATTACAAACGATTGTTATGGGTGTTAACTGAATGTCATTTGGAAGTGTCCTCTGTAGGAGACCATAGGTACATAACAACATATACATATGTGAATGAATGACTTCATGCACACACTGAGCGACCAGTTGCTGTGCGAAAAGGTCGCGTGACTTTTTGTTATCGGATAGGGCTTTTTTTGCCACGGGAATATTATCTAATGACTTCTCCCGTCCAGGGTGAGGCGAGAGGAAGCGTCAGACTCTTACTGACTAAACCCAAAAAAGATTAACCTTGTATGCATGTATGAAGTGATCTCAATAATTAGGATTTTCTCCTGTGTCGTGGGTGCGTTTACAATCAAACGAATTCACATAGACAAGCCACCCAAATCCGAAACAAAAATTAGTGGATCATACAAAGTGTTTTTTTCGTGCGGGAATCGAACCTGCAACACGTTGGACAGCAGCCAGTTGCCCAGCCGCTGCGCGAACCGAAAATAAATTAAGCTTATTTTTATTTATTTTGGTGAGATGGACAAATTCTGTTCGACCTTTTTGAAAGAAATAAATAGTTTTTAATTGATAGGTATTTATTTATTATTTATATTTAAGTAGTGTATCTGTATTTCCTGAACATCAAGTCAATGTCATCGTATTGCAATAATAATGTTTCAATTACATACATACTCAAAATGTGATCTCACAAAGGTATCGCTTGGTATTAAAGCACAAATCATTTACGTCATTCAATATTGAATTGAATTACTTGATAATTACATTATAAATGTGTGTATTAAAGTGTTGATTTTTAATCGTTAAAGTCATCATTTAACATCATCCTGACCATAGCAGTTTTGGAGTTTTCATTACACTGTCTCGTTGGCTAAGTGTGATTAGCGAGCTACAAATTCCCGGATTTAGTCTGTAAGCGGGTTATTATAATTAAGTTAGACTTGTAGAATATGGGTAAGTACTTGTGTCAGCTGGGAGTTGTCATGCTCACTCAGAGGTCTTATTGGTATAGACGTAGTTTGGAACTCGAGAAAGGACATAGGAGTTTTTATACCAAAAATCTGCAGGAAGTCACTATTCCACGCAAACGGAGTCGCGGGCAAAAGCTAGTCAAAAATAAAACGTAAATTAAATTAAGTAATGGTTTAGATTAAAAAGTAAAGTGGATTAAACCTGAGAGGAAGCCACTTTTTTCTTTCTCTTCTAATATTTCAGAAATTAATGTATCGTATATAAAATCTTCTAAAGAACTTTTGCATTGATATGTAAAACTCCTGTACTAAGTACAATATGTAGATAACATGCTTAAATATATTATTATGTATTGGCTACGCTATAATGAGGAACATAAAACATTATTAATCTCTATTTATTCTATAACGTATTTGTATAAGTATAAGTATCTATACTAAAACTGGATGACTGGCTAAGCTGATCACATTTTAATACCATTTTAATATTAAGTTTTTAAATATCAAAACCTTTTTAATCTTTTTCTACAAATTATAAGTGCGAGATTCTTTTTGAACTTAAAATGGTGATCTATGTCAACAAAATAACGGTTAATTGTTGTCATAATTACAGCAATGTTAGCAGCATTTAATCAATTTCAGCAATTTAATATTAGTGACCAAAATCAATTCATCTATTACATTTAAGCGAGATTTTTTTCATAAGTTCTTGATTTTATGTGTGCAGGATCTCGAAAACGGCTCCAACGATTAGGATAAAATTTTGGAAATAAAAGGTGTAAGAGATGAAAACTATTTATAGCCATTATATATAATGTCAAAAAAAATTATTATTAAAAAAACAAAATAACCGACTGCACACTAAAAAAAAAGTAAAACAAGCCCCACAATACAAATTTACTGAATATAATTTATAAATGTTGATGGAAAGCATCGCAGGCGGGGACCAACAGAGGCTTATTTATAGTCATTTCTGTTGTGCACCATTTAGCAGAATTTTCGTTGGTGGCGGTCAAGGTGGTCCCCGCCTGCGATGCTTTCCATCAACATTTATAAATTATATTCAGTAAATTTGTATTGTGGGGCTTGTTTTACTTTTTTTTAAGTGTGCAGTCGGTTATTTTGTTTTTTTAATAATAATTTTTTTATTTATAACTTTTTAGCTGTTTTTATTTAACGTTACTCCCGTGATTGAAATGAATCTAATGATACCGCATACATATTTTTTTAAAGGGAAATTTAGAAAAAATATTATTATGTCTTTATCCCGTGGGACTTTTAGGATAAAATGTATCCTATGACACTCCCGTAATCAAGACAAATCTAACGATACCTCATACATCAAAATCCATCAAGCCGTTTAGGCTACAGGAGGTCACAAAGGAAAAGACATACATACATACTTACATACACTCGAAAAACATTACCCTCCTTCTTTGGCAGTCGGGTAAAAACTGATTTTCGTCCAAAGATCATGGATAGACGATAGAAGTGAGAATCTTATAGAAAAACTTGAAATTCAATCAATTTTATAATATTTTTGTGGTCCGCTAGTATCGCTTGAAGTAATTGGATAGTCGTAGGTCGTGGTTCGAAACTAAGCGAGCAATTGTGTGTGTGTAGATAATTGCTTAAAACTTCGAGAAAAAAAATCATTACCTACGACTTAATTGGTTTATTATTTCGATATTCAATTTGTTGTTGTGTAGATTTTTTTATAATATTTTAGTACACGGAAACTTTGATTTTGTTAGTCCGAATTGTACGTTTAGGTTTAGTGGTTGTTTACTGTTTCACGGGACATATAGCACACTAAATGGAATACCCTATTCAAGTTCAAAGTGTAAGAGAGCCATGCTTCGACATGAATGAGTCGGCCCGACCGGAGTGATACCACGGCCTCACAAAAAACTACCGTGAAACAACCATAACGTTTCACCGTATGAGTCAGGTTACCAGAGGCCCAATACTTTCTCTCCTCCTATCTCTCCCCAATCCTTAAATCTCCCAAACCCTAAGCAAATCTAATCCCAAGCTAACCTAACCTTAATACTCGAAAAAAACAAAGGCCGAATTAATATTTTTTTAGTTGTGCATGCAACTTAATGGCATTAGCTTTTAAGTGTGGGAGAGCCATGCTTCGGCACGAATGGGTCGGATCGACCGGAGTGGTACCACGGCCTCACAGAAAACCGGCGTGAAACAACCATAGCGTTGTATTTCCCCGTGTGACTGAGGGTACCAAAGGCCCAATCCTTCCCCTCCCCAATCCCTCCTCAATCCTTAAATCTCCAAATCCCTATCCCTAAAAGGTCGGTAACCCACTCGTAACGCCTTCGTTGCGGGTTTCCATGGGCGGCGCTGTTTGTTTACCATCAGGTAATCCGTAGGCTCATTTGCCGGCCTATTACATAAAAAAATGTAAGTAAATTTTTTGACAATTTGCTAGTATAAAAATCGAGAATAAAGATAAGTAAATCGCAAAAATGTTTTTCTTGGTTTTGAAGAGTTAAAATATAAATTACTAGCTACTCTCGCGCGATCTCATCTGCTGCACAGCTCCATCGTAGCGTGATGTTTCATAGCCCATAGCACTCAAGAACAATGTAGCTATCTATTAGTGAAAGAATTATGGCAATCCGACCAGCGGTTCCAAAGTTTATTCCCTACATACAAACATACAAACTTACAAATTTTACCACTTTATATTAGTAAAGATGACTCAGGAAGCTACCCAGTTGCTGGCGACCTGTATTACGCGATTCTCTATTTATTAGGTCATCTATAAAATTGCATTTTGTGCTGCGCTTTCCGGATACGCGACCTTCATTCAAGAACCTTTTTGCCCGTCGGTACTTAGTGCTGTGTGTTTCACCTACGGCCACTTCAACACTAGACAGACAACTTATTATAATTGGGTAGGTACTTATAGCAAAAATAAATTATTTTGGCTTTTCAATATAAAGGAATATACAGTTTTATTCAGTTGTACGATGTACAAAATATTTTTATTTGAATGCTATAGGTATAACAAAGAAAAAACAGGATGTCACAACACAAAATCCCTGACAAAATTCACATATAAATAACAATTTAGACAATTTGAAAAAAGTATAAAATTCTGGATTTCTGATACTTATACAATTTCTGTGCATGCACTAGCTTCTGCTTGGTACTTCACCCTTAGTACCAGGGTAGGATTTAGCCTATTTTGTCTTTTAAAGTATAATCAATCTTTGTATCAAATCTTATTGGGGATCCCAGTGGGGTTCGGTAGTATTAATTAAGATTAACAGACAGGATAGATAGATGTCTATCTATCCATACTTACAAACATTCGCGTGTATTTTATAAGCAGGATACTTATGTATGTAATACTCTCCTGTTACCCGTTTTACTGCAATTTTAACATTTCGAAAAAAAATTCAACTGCACGGATACCGCTCAAGGCGTGTCGCGGTTTCGATACCCGCACGAAACAACTCTTTGTGTGCACCACAAATTGATGTTTTGGGTCTGGGTGTGATGTGTTTGTGAAACGTATGTTTATAAACGCACCCATGACAACGAAGAAAAACATAGATAGGGGCAATGTATTTAAAACTAGCTATTCTCGCGCGGTTTCACCCACTGCTCGGGTCCATTAAATCATAGCGTAATCGACTCATACATATAAATATAATATACTAGTTACGGTGCTCGGCTCCATTTAATCGTAGCGTGATGTTTTATACCCTATAGCACTCAGGAACATTGTAGCTATATATCAGTGAAAGAATTTTGGCAATCCGACCAGCAGTTCCAAAGATTGTCCCCTACACTAAAAAAAAAAAAAAAATAACGTTGCCCCACATTAGGATTTTCTCCTGTATCGTGGGTGCGTTTACAAACATACAATTTCACATGCACATCACACCCAGACCCGGAACAACAATCTGTGGATCACACAAAGAGTTGTTCCGTGCGGGAATCGAACCCGCGACACGTTGCGCGGCAGCCAGTTGCCCAGCCACCGCGCCAACCGTGCAGTCAAAAAGTCATTCAAACTTCAAACTTCCAAACTTACAAATTTTACCACTTTATAATATTAGTATAGATAAAAATATCTCACACAAAATGTTACCACCCTTATATGTAATTCTGGGAAAGCAATAAACATATTGAGTATTAAGTATTGATATCCCTAGACAAACTTTTAGTCATGAGCATACAAGACGCCAGCAAGTCTTCTCTCAGGACGTCTTCAAAACCATCCATAGATCGAAGTCGTTCATGTTTTTTTTGTCAATATCAAAATGATTATAATCTTTGTTGGATGCCTTTTCAAGTTTTTGTACAACATACCAAATTATGGTTGGGTGACCGAACAATTACCATATAACACATGTTGGGGAATTCTAAATGGTCATTAAGTTTACACCGCGTATAATAAATGAATAAATACTTTGTATAATCAACGTCTTTTGCTCATTGTATTTTATATGACTTATTGGTACATCCCCGTGCCATATTTGTCATTAGGTAGTGAATCATTTTGATCCGGGATCTTCATAACTTGTCATTTTTTGTTTACGCGATTACGACTTATAAGTATGCCGTAGTAATTGTATAATAGAGACGAAGAATGACTTCTCTCTTGGACTACTACAGTTCTAGAATGTACTAGGCTTCGATAACATCCTCCAAAATATATTCGTTTGGTTGTTGCCGAAGATTGAAACCACAAAATACTACTTTACTGTGTAAAAATCAACAAAGCAATCTAAGGTCGGTTAAGAATTTTGGTTTATTTACAAAGAAACTTTTTTTTATAAAAATCTCTACACTTAAATATAATTTTGCATTTTATTGACTTAACTAATTTACTTAAATAACATTTTTAGTTATTTGATACAAGACTGAAAGACTTTCAACATTGAAACATATTAATGACCAAAATAAATTTAGATTATAAACGTAAAAGAAACAATATGAACTAAAAAATAGTAAATTACGAAAATGAACAAAAACTATAGGTACGAAAATGTATAACTGCATACCTATATTAAAAGGACCTCATAGCGTTGCGCGTACAAACTGAATTTTGGATGGAAACCAAAAAACAAATAGAAATCATAAGAAACAAGAAAATATTAATATTGCTCAAAAGTGAATTATGTCTAAATTTCTATGTTTAATGATAGTACAGATCAGTATAGAATAGGAAAAATATATGTATGTTCAAGTTTTAAAATTATAACAAACCACCCTTTCTTGGTTCTCGACACAAGCTGTCGTCGCGTTTTCATTATTAGGTGTCTGTAAGTTAACACTTTCGGTGGAATTTTTATATGTCTTTGATGGAACAGTTGTAAGTAAATTAGGTACTGGTTTAGTTGCTACATTCTGTAAAATTGATATAGTTTCAGTAGTTATTATAGTCCTTGGAATTGCTCTTTTAAATATTTTGCTTTCAGACGGGGTGTCATTTACTTCTAAATTGTCATAAATTTGTGCAGGGGTGTTTTGTGCAGATGTTGAAGTTTTTCTAATTGTTTTAATTAGTATAGGTTTGCTACTTTCGCTAAGTAATTCAGTACTTTGAGCAGCTGATTCAGTATTTTGGGTAGCTGATTCAGTACTGTCGGTACCTGATTCAGTACTGTCCGTAGCTGATTCAATACTTTCAGTAGCTGATTCAGTACTTTCGGTAGCTGATTTAGTACTTTCGGTAGCTGATTCAGTACTCTGAGTGTGATTATTTTGAGTAATAGCGGCAGTATTTTGAGTATCTGTTTCAGTATTTTGATTTACTGCTTCAGTCTTTGGAGCCAGTTTTGGTGTTAAAAAAGTAACTTTTTCTGTAGTTGAATATATTATTTGATTTAATGTTACATTTGTAATTTTTGTAGGTTCAATTAAAACAGTCGGTTTAACTACATTTTCTGTAGCCATAGACTTCAGTAATAGTTTACTAAGAGCGGATTTTAGCAATATGTTTTCCATAAGATCGCTGTTAATTTTGTGTTCTTTATTTGAGATTTCAGACTTGGGGGTTCTTGTCGGTCTTTGTCTCATTACAAGATTTTGAGATTCTTTTGGAAGTTTGTTTTTACTATCATAACCACATTCCAATCTATCACCACGAATTCGACATCCATTACCCAAGTCAATTATTTGGCCTAGTTCATGTAGACCTTTGTTCTTTTCATAGCCACATAGTATCCTATCATTGATCTCTACACATTTATTGTAATCGATTAAATTACGTGCGATGTTGACTTTCTTTACTTGATATTTATTAAATAATTCTTCTTTCTTTATTGGCACTTTTTGTGTTTTTGAATTCATCGTAATAGGAATTGCTTCAATATCATTTTCTAGGTAGCTGTCTGATGAATCAGAATTTTGCATCAGTGGATCGAAGACGCCATTTACAAGGCTAGATGCGAAATTAATTGCCAATATACTTTTTGGTACAAGCATACATATCTGAAATGTATCAAAGAAGTTGGTTAATTTGCGCCCACTTTTTGCAAGAAAAGGGAAGAAGAGGGATTAGTAGAATGATTGAATAAGATACTTATATATGTAGCGGTCAAAGATATGAGTGTGTTATAAAGTGTCCTCGGCAGCATTACTTAAATACCTGTAATACCTAGCTTAAAGCTTAGTATTAATTACTGATGTCATTGTGCAGTTGTGGACGTCTTGAGCCTAGTATGATGAAGATATGAATGTTGTTGTTATTGTTTCTTCTGGCATTTAACTTGAGTATCCTTTCTGCTTATCCTAATTTCGACACACACAATACTTTCTTTCCACTTACCAACAACTTTATTGCCATCGTATATTTTTCCGTAAACCTAGGAATCGGCTTGATGAAATCTTAAGATTTGATTAATTTAACTTTACGTTCATGATTTTACGATGATATCTTCACATTTTCCTATGTACGGTTTACAGATGCACTACGAAAATATTTTTAATAGTAAACTATTAATTTGTTTTGGCCTTACAAAGGTGCCTTTCTGTGACTTCCTGTTAAGTGCTACTTATAATAATAACGCGATTATTTGTAAATATTCTTTTACATAGAAATTATTGTACGGATCCTAATGTAATTTGTCATTGTGATGCTCCAAACACTCGGGTATGGTTTGTTTTTTTTGATTTGATTTTTTTCAAAAATTGATGGTTCAGATCCAAGTGTAAGGTGAGTTTGAATTCGTATGTACTGTGTTTACAAATGCACCCACGATATAGGTAATCATAAAAAAAGTTAGAGGTGCCTCTATGGTACTTAGCCGAGGTTTCAAGCTCAATAAGGAACCGCGGCCTCGGCCTGGAGCAGTAGAAGGAACGGGGTGGTATTTTGCCAGTTAGAATCTAACACTCCCTCTTGTCCCACCCTGGCCGAGAGCAGCCGTATTTTGTTTTTTTTTTATGTTATAGGTCGGCAAACGAGCAGACGAGGAGATAAGGGTTCTCACTCATACGGCGAAACATAACGTTGAGGTAGTTTCACGCCGGTTTTCTGTGAGATCGTGGTATCACTCCGGTCAAGCCGAACCATTCGTGCCAAAGCTTGATTTTCCCATACTTTTTCATTTGTTGATTTTCCTCCCCTCAAAATAAAAGAACCTCTTTGGTACATCTTTGATAATTTCGCAATATCATTCTGATACCAAAAAGTTCTTGTATAGCTTGTTTATTTGAAAAGCAAACACAAGTTTTGTTATTATTTATGGATCCTCTATATACTCGTGTGTTACCTACATACTATAGTATATTGCTTGTAATATTACTCATAATCTGCGGATGAATAGAGTAAATAGGCAACTTAAGTAGTTTTTAATGTTTATAATTCTGAATAATGGAATTCCCCTCAGCTATGTTCATTAGGTGCTTATAAAGTATTCTTATTAATTACTGTGAAGTCCTTATTAATCTTGAGCAAGACAAGCTCCGGGTTTATGGATACAAAATGAAACAATTGATTTGTTACTTAGTTAAAAAAATCAAAACTATACAATTTTTGTAGGTAATAAATAAACTATATACTCTTTGAACTTAACGACTTACAATTTCCGAACGGAACAAATTAAGTCAAGTACATGTCAGAATTTCAGAATCAAAAATAAATAAATAAATAAATTCAACACGAAAATAGCACAATACAGATGTAAACCAAAACAAAACAGTTAAACAGTATGGTACGCAAACACATTCCACAGTGTCATTAAGAAAATCGAAAAGACAAATGGGATCTTTCAATAATTTAAAGGACAATTCATTTTAAAATTTCTGGAATATACCTTTCTGCGCGAGTAACTTTTAAAGACACCATGATTAAAGCAAATATTAGGGCCGCAAAACGGAACGCAATAATGAAAAGTGCTTCCGATTTAGTAATAGTAAGTTTTTCGTACTTAGTAAATACTACTACTTTAACATTCATTCTTGCTTTTTAAAGGATATATTTTGACAAGGAAACTATAAACTTGTAACAAATAATATGTAATTGTTTTTAAGATGAAACATTATTCTGCTTATTGTTTATGTCTTTGCTTGCATTGACTTGTTAAAAATTGCAGTGAATGTTGCTTACAGGTGCCTCAAAAAAGAAAACAGAAATCGTTACCCGCTATAAAACTGCATCAAGATAAACAAAACAAAAAACTTAACAAAAATGAAAATACCATAACTATCCATCATGGAATAGTTCTGAATAAGATGTGTGATATGCAAAAAGAAGAAATAGGAAAGACAAGTTCATCGAAAAAAGATAAAAAGATGAAAAAGAACAATAAAAAACACGTTAGCAATCCTAGTAGCACATACACACAAGAAAGGGTGAAAAAAGTACCAAGAAATGAAGACAAACATAACAGTGGACAAAAACATTCTGCAGGAAAAACAATAAGTAAACAGAAAGGCAGTGAAGTGAAGCAAAATAAAGTACATATTAAAAGTGTCGAAGCGCCTATTAATAAACGTCACTTAGATAAAAATAAAAGTTCGGTAAATCTTTGAAAATGTAACTTTAAACATAAAGATAAATCAATTTATAATAGAAGTTCATTATTTGTTTCAGATTATGAAAAACTTAATAAACAATCCAACTACAGAAATCACAGCCCTAGTTCTGACTCGAAGAAATACATTTTATCCTTAATAAAGAAATGTAATAATGATAATGAAGACATAAAAAAGAAGAGTCCATCCAGAACGACGCAAACCAGTACTGGCAGTTTAAGTAGCAACAAAAGTTCTAAAAGCAAGAATACAAAGACTATCAAAGATAGACTCAGAAAACAAATTTGGCACTGGGCAAAACATTCTATGAAACGTAGTGAAAATTGGACTAAGTTCCTTGCTGATAACAATATAGCACTGGACGATATAAGTATTGATAAACTAGATCACACTCTTATTGACGTGGACGCATTAGGCATCGAGAATAAACTACTTAAGCGTACTGTACTGTGGTTATTTAAATAAAATTGTTGTTCAAATTATTCAATATATTATTTTCTATAAATTGATACTCGTATGCCACTTCTATAAGGATATTGATCCTCTTTAATTTCCTCTGAATGCGAGTCTTACATAGTCTGTTGATTTTGACAGCTGTTGTTGATGTTTCTGAAATATAAAATACGAAAGCTCAAGGATAAATGTTTTGCATGATACTTTTACATTAATGGTTTTGGCAAAAAATTATATGTTTTAATAGGTTCAACAAGATTATGTATTAAATACTACAAAGTAAACAAATAAAAAAGTATAAATCGTGATGTTTTCAAGAAGTATGGTATTCTAACAAAATTTTAAATGAAAATAAAATGAAATGTTCAAGTATCGTAGAAAAAGTAAGTATTGCGTCTAAACTAACTTTCGAGTAAATGTCTCACTGTCCGAAATGATTACAACCTAAAATATCGTTCACTTAAATCACAATCATCTAAGATTTTTAGTACAAAATAAAAACACTAAGTTTATGTTAACCACAGTTTCTTCCGTGGCATGTGTATATATCCTATAATTATAACGCCAAAAATCTTATTATAAAACGCCTATCCTTCTTCGATTAGATAATTCAACTCCAGGAAGCCAGGAGGTAATTCAAGAAGAAGAAGACCAACAGCAACAGCCCCAGCAACAGCAACAGCCACAACAACAGCCGAAAAGAAATAGTGTAACTGTATTTAATCAATGGATGAAAGGAATTTTCAAGAAAAAACCCAATGAATCTGCACCAACTCCGGCGCCACAGAACACTCACGAAAATGATTCGAAATTATTATATATGAGAAATTCCATAACATCGTTATTTAAGAATAAAAATAACAAATCTAAACTAGCTATCAAAGATATTGATCTTATTGAGGGCATGGAAGCAAATGATTTAATGAAGCTATACACAGTGAGTGAACCAAAAGTTCCCTTACTTGAAATGATGGTAGCAGATTATAAACGTGGAAGATTTTCGATCCCAGGAGCATCTACTAAACAAAAAAAGAAAAAAATTGCCCTCGACCAAGCAAAATTAGATCAAATGATAAACGAGTATGACGAAGAAGTAAGAAAAAAAGATTTAGAAGAAATACAAAATAATGCTGAAACATTGAAAAAAAAGTTTGCTCTGTCGAATGCCCAGGTGTTAAAATTAGATAATATCGTCCAAGAATTACACCAAGGAAAAAGTTATCAGTTAGATATAGCCACAGTTTTACTTGATCCTAAGGATCTGACGAAGGAACAGTTTCATAGCTTAATAAAGGAGTATGAAGACACGCAGGTTAAAAAGAGCAGATTGTCGCAAATTTTAGATCAAAGTAGACAGTCACTAGAACATTCTAAAAAGAAAGTTTTTCATTTAATGGGAAAAAGGACGGCTAAATAGAAAAAAAGAGATACAAATTAAGTTCTACGTTCTTTCGTAAGTAACATAGATCTATGAAATCTATACTAATATTATAAAGAGGAAAAATTTGTAAGTTTGTAAGTTTATAAGTTTGTATGTAGGGGGTAATCTTTGGAACCGCTGACTCAGATTGCCAAAATTTTTTACTGATAGATAGTTACAATGTTCCTGAGTGCTATAGGCTATAAAACATCACGCTACGATTAAATGGAGCCGAGAAGCGGGTGAAACCGCGCGAGAGTACCTTGTATGATATATAGTAGGTAGAATTTTGTAAAGGTAGTAATTATAAACTAGCACAGCACGAACTAATTGGTACTGGTTGCCTTCTTCACAATTATGACGACCTGACTTCGAAGCCTGGCAAGTACCAATGTGCCATTTTTAAGTTATATCTTCTTTCCTTTCACGGGACCACAGGGTCCCGGACCTTTGGAAGGCGTACGAGGAGCCGAAGCCAACTCGCAGAGGCCCGTTGAACAGTTTTAATCTAAATGTGATGGGATATCAGCCGGCAATTATTCCTGTATGCACTATATAAGTGCACCCAAGGACAATCCCCGGTTGATGCAGGATTATTTAATTGTGAAATGTGGTAAAAATTGATAGGGTTATAGGTATGGGTTGCTATGGACTGGTGGATATGATATAATGGATATATATAAGTTATATTATTATTATGTGGGTACTTTCTAAGTTTATTTAGACACCACTGACGTACGTTGAAGTAAACATCGTAAGGTTATCTGGACTTCATATTCCTTGTTATACATAGGTAAGCTTGAAATTGCCAATGTCTCTTAAGCAAGCGTGATGATTGATGCTCAAACCATTGCCATAATAGGAAAACCTGATTATTTATCATTTTGATTCAATTATTGTAGTCAGAAATTTTCTTCACAGGTTACTGTAATGTTTTGCCGTCACGATAATACTACACCCTGGCACTCACTACACATAAAATGTTATGAAAAGTTCCCATTACCAAAATATACAAAGATGATGAAGAAGAAGAGATGATAAAGGAAATATGTCATTGCATACTCTGATCTCTGACCAAGCAGTACTCTAGTATATAACCTAGAAAAATCTACAACGTAAATAAAACTAAGAGTCGACAGTTACCAAATTTACGTAAGAGAAAAGAAGAGAAAGTACTTCAATTTAAAGATGAAACCTTGAAAAGCCACCGTGAAAAGTTCACTGTATCCAAATAATCCTCTCGAGGAAATGAGAAGAAATTACAAATATCGTCTAAAAACAAAACGGGAAAATCAAGAAGAAAAAATATTAACGCACAATAAAAAGTATGAGCCAGATCGTAAATAAACAGAAAGCCTTGAATGCCCCTCCCAGTGTTTCCAAATATGTTAGTTAATGTGTCTAGTCTTCCAGATACCGATGCTCTAGACATGAAATCACCTAAACATATCTACATTAATATTGATATGATTGATCCTGATCTCAAATATCTCAAAGCTTTAGAAAATAAAAACAAATTACATAAAAAAATATACATTATTATCTTAGTTTTTAAATAAAGTTATCGTTGTAATAAATATCTCTTATTTAATTATAGTATATTAATTAGTTAACCCTTCATAGCAACATAAAGGGACGAAGTCCGCGAGAGAAATTATTGTCGTCTACTTCAACACATTACGGCGACATATACCGGCTGTTTGAATCTGACACTCTCTCTCGCCTTTTGCTGGGCGGGAGAAGTCGTTTGAAGACTTACTTACCCCTGAAAAAAAGTAGTCCCGGCTGAGATTTGCTACTGTATAGAAGTTTTTACGCGCATGTCGCCCCGCGTACCGCGATGCGGCGGGACGCATCTTAAGTGCGTGAACCGCTATATGTATTTTTGGGTACACTTTCGACGCCGTCGTTCTACCTAGTTCCTGATAGACCTGTCTAGGATACGTTTAATTTAACCCAGACTAGAATTAATGCACAGTCTTGCCTGTGTGAATTTCCTATGAAAGCCTGTGCCTTCGTAGGTACTTTCAAGTGCAACATGTGAAGAAGATTGGTTGAGTACTAAAAGCAGAAAAATATAGCAGGAGCCCTTTCGAGTTTAAAATATTGTTATTGTGATAAATCTGGAAAAAAGGTATTTTCCTGGTAACTGTACTTTTATAAGAGTGGCAACAGTAATTGAAATGCATACAAGCATTTAACGTTTCTTATCTTAACATGGTTAGACTTTGTGGCTGCTCGTTCATTCTGATCATGGTTAGTTTCAGTGTTTCCTTTATTGTTTAAATAACGTAAGTTAAATGCATAAAAACACTTTTGGTTACGAAAAAATCTGTTAATTATGTACCAGATATAACCTACTGTTGGACTAATATTTATGCTCACTTGAAATTTATAATTCTCAACCGTTTTTGTTACCTTGGTCACTGATTTGAATACGAAAAACAAATTTTATTTATTTTATTTTTATTTTATTCATTTTAAGAAGGCTTACAGACTAATAGCAGAATATGTAACAAAAATATATAATTAAGTTGCTAATGACAAGCCTCCACAGATATATAAAAATATCAACGATTAAGTAATGCCTGAATGTTGAAGTTATGTTTTTTTTAATTATTTATTGGCTATTCCCGGAATTACAGATATTTGGCAGTGCACACTTTGTTGACGCCACGGCGCAGTGCGGTAATTGCATTCAACAGTCATCGAGAAATAGACCGCGAAATAAATTACTGGCGATGAATTTTAACGTACCGCCAAACGCTGCAATTAGGCGACAGGGCGGAGGTGGGCTGCCTGACATGAACCTTCTACTATCTGGCCAGCCAGGCAATCCAAACTATCCTCAAGAGCCGCAGTCTCCTCATCAGCCCAACAATCCTCAACAGCCGAACTATCCCCAACGGCCGAACTATCCCCAAGATCCAAACTATCCCCAGCGCCCGACGTATACTCGCAAAAGGTGCTGCCCATATGACTTTGATAGCAATTTTTGCAAGACGGTGGACGACAGGGTGCTTTGTGGATATAACAAAAACCTAGGAACACCACAGAGTAAGAATCAAATGTTTGAATTGACTGAAAATTGTAGGATACGTGGCGGACGGCTAGAATGTGGCTATGAGAAAGGACCTTTTACCAATATCAGAAGGCCTCCTGCGAGGGATGGTTTCTTTCCTTCTAATAATAACGACCAATATGGATCCTCCTATTATGGCACAACTCTGAGGTCATCGGACTCTGTTACCAGATGTGTAGAAATAAATGAGCGCATTATTTGTACGAAAATTTAATTTGGATTTTGGCAGTTATTACAGTTTTTTGTGGTTTTGTACGTCCTATTACACTTAAAATATACCTTTAATACACATGGAAAATGTTTTTATTTTATTAAGGCATTCAAAAATCTTTTACTTTTAGACTTAATGCTAAAACATAATCTGCTAGTCAATTTTTACTAAATCCCATGACATCTTAGAAACTGTTAATCAGATAACTACAAGAGAGTAGCACTCATGGAGTAGCACTTTTAGAAATACCTGATTCATTTATTGATTTAGTATTTTATTTCTTGGACTCATGCCTTAGCATTATGAGTACAAGAAATACTGAAAAAAAACTATTTTACTACAGTGCAATTTTAAAAATTTAATATAAGTTACATTTTAAACCTACTGGACTCGAGATTTATGTGTAGTCGAGTCGAGTTATTAACACGAGGTAGTTACTGTGAACTGTTCCCTGAGCTGTCTTTCGTTCTCATCATCAGACCCATAAACACTAGGTAACTACTTCAAATAATCAAGGAAATCCTTCGGCTGTCTTCCGGCTCCCTCATCAGGTCAAGTTCGACTATCGGCAAGTTGTAGCGTTGTAAAAAGCCTACTAAAACAACATGCAAAACTACTACTCGCCCCTTCAATTTTCGAAAGATTTCCTCGGTTTTCCTAGGATTTCATCATCAGATCATTACCTAAGTGTGAGAGAGTCATGCTTCGGCACGAACGGGTTGGCTCGACCGCAGTTATACCACGGCCTCACAGAAAACCGGCGTGACACAACCACAGCGTTATGCTCGCCGTGTGAGTGAGGTTACCGGAGGCCCAATCCTTTCTCTCCCCAACCCCTTAATCTCTAAAACACTAATCCCTAAGAGGTCGGCAACGCACTCGTAACTCCTCCGTTGCGGGTGTCCATGGGCGACGCTGATTGCTTACCATCAGGTAATCCGTCTGCTCGTTTGCCGGTCTATTACATAAAAAAAACAGATCCTAACCTCATGAAAATGGAACCCTCTTCGGAGTCCCTCTTTGAAACAAAACAAGAATTTTGGAAATCGGTTCGTAATTGGTGAACATACAAAAAAAACACAATCAGCCGAACATAGTACCTCCTCCTTTTTTTGAAATCGGTAAAAATACTGATAATTATGCCTTAAAAGTGCAAATAAATTATTTGAAATTAAAATACTGGCATAAAACTTATAAGTAAGTACATATAGTGTCGTAGCTTTAACAAAATAACTTGGGACTAATTGAGTTTCTGTAATCATAAAATACTTGTATTTATTGTAACTGTACGTGTTTATTCTTTTATTTTGTCTAACTATTTGAAATGATGAATTTTGTTTTTCTCACAGCACTACATTACCGCCTGCTAAGAAAATGTTATAAAATCACGAATCTTAGGTTTGCTCAAACATAGGTGGTAGGAGTTCAAATCGAGTTTTTATAAGTAGAAAGATATTTCTTGCTAGTCGATTAATTTGGTAATTTGAAACGGATGCAAACTATGTGGTATTTTACCTCATTCCATAATTATTATTGAACTAGCAGCCGCCCGCGGCACCGTAGGTATATCTCACAAATTTTCATTTTATAATATTAGTAGGTTATTAGGATAAATTGGCTTATTAGTAATTGATTACTACGCTAAGAAAATACAAACAAGGATTAGGCTGGGTGTTGAAAAAGCTAACTGACGTATCAAATAAGTGCTACTAGAAAAAGCGTCTAATATTGTATATTTATTAATAATAAACTAATATAATTGAAGTACATTTTGCCTTAAAAGTACCTACATACAAATATTTTAAATTAAAATACTGGCATAACACGAACTCTAGTGATGTAGCTTTAAAAAAATAAATTATGAGCAACAATGAGGAGTATTTTTGTATTCGATAAAATGGCCCTCACTTAGCGAAAATAGCTTTGTTCTGAATAGGGAAATTAATATTCAATGATAGTTTACATAAGGTATATATTTGATTGTTAATCTACTTATTTCATCATAAATTATAAAACAAAATTGTTATAAATTAATGACCAAAATAAAGATGGTAATACGTGACAAAGTAAAATAATAATAATAATCTAAAGTAAATTGGTTTGTTTCTTATTATTTATGTTTTCCAAGGTCTTTTGAGGTATTAATAAATAATACTGGCTGGTGTAACACAGATGCATATTGCCATTATGATATATTTTAAAACAATAATTATATCATTTAAAATAATTATGATAAACAATAATGTTTGGACTATGACTGCCGCTCTCAAAGTAACTTATTTCAATTATTACTTCACTCAGTGCTTATCTATTAGTTTTCAAAACAAAATAGTTCCTAAGGAACGGTTTAAATAATAGTTAATTTGTCTTTGAGAACGGCGGTTAATAAAACAGACACACGATATCGTTACATGGAAATTTGTTTCTAACGAAATTGTGTATTTTCACATTAAGATGCATTATTTTTCATAGTATAAGTGACAAAGTATAAAGGTTATTTTTGTTTGAAAGATATCTGTTGGTCATCATAGGTTTTAAAAATTATCTTCATATTAAAACCATCTTTACATTGTATATCAAAACTATGCATTCAGATTAAATACGCTATATAACTTACATTCTTTCAACACAACACAAGAAAAACTATTATCACAATCTACAAAGACTACTTCTAATTTTTGCATAGATTTCAACACTGGTCATTGGTGAAGGCGTTAAAAATAGGTGGAAAACATAACCCTTGGTATGTATGTAGCGCAAATCCACGCGGGACACAATATTATTTTCTATTGCTTTTCCAACCTACATCATTAGTTCCACCAGTCCACCGATTAAACTTTCATTGTCCGTCAGTACTGAGAAGACCCACTTCAACATTCTGGATTCGTAGTCATCTTTTGGATATACAAGGTCCAAGTAGTCCATAACGGCAGATGCCATGCTCCTTTGTTCACTTTCCGTGCTGGATTTTCTTCGAAACCAATGTTGGTGTGCATCACAGTACGTGAATAGTAATGTAATCGCTAAAGCTCCTATAAATATCCTGAGCCGCATCTTTCTGGAAAGAAAAAATGAAAATATTAGCGTTAAGGTATATGGATAACTAGCACCCGCCCCGGCTTTGCATGGCTGCAATGCTAGAACTAAATTTCTTGACTATTCCATGGATGGTATTATACATATAAACATTCCTCTTTCATTACTCTATTTATTACAAAAAAAAACAGCATCAATATCCGTTGCGTAGTTTTAAAGATTAAAGCGTGCTGAGGGACAAAGGGACAGAAGGAGCGAGTTTTTTTATATTATGTAGTGATGATGGTTTGAGCCTTAAGAGTATTAATTCTACTTTTTTTTTTTTTTTTTTTTGTCAGGGGAAAATCATCCAATGACTTCTCCCGCCCAGGGTAAGGCGAGAGAGAGTGTCAGACTCTTACTGACTAAAAACCCCCCCGTTCCTTCTCCTGCTCTGGGCCGAGGTCGCGGTGCCTCATTGCGCTTACCCCGCAGCCCCGGCTAAACATCAGCCCTTTAGGGCCCCGACTGTGGTGGTCTATTGGCTCTTTGAGGCGCGCGCGGAACGCTACGCGCCGTACGCTCGGGTCCAGTTCTGGTCGGGCGGCGAGCTACCCTTACTCGCCGTCCGCAGACCCGCGCTTACGGTGGCCGGAGATCATCCCTCGATCCCCGACGTCCGGAATGTCGCCTTCTGCGGCGGCTGGGGCGCGAGGAGGATAGTTCCCTCATGCGCTCCGCCTCCTCCTTTGCGAGCATAACTGCTTCGCAGAAGGAGGAGATAGCTTCCCAGTTCCTCTCACGCTGCACCATGGCCTCGATTAAGGCCGGGCGCGAGAGGTCGCTGCCGCCGATCACTTCCCTGAGAACACGGCGGTGCTCAGCCCAAGCAGGGCACTCCGCCACCGTGTGCTCCACCGTGTCCTCCAGGTGATCCTCACAATGACGACACTCGGGCGTTTCCTCCCGCTGGATCCGAAACAGGAACCTACCAAAGCTGCCGTGCCCGGTAAGCACCTGCGTCAGGCGGAAGGTGAGGACGCCGTGGCGTCTCTCAAGCCACTCCTCAAAGAGGGGTCTTACCGCTGCTATAGTAGCGTGCCTGGCCCTCGGTTGCGACAGTCGCTGCTTCCACTCAGCCATGAGATCTCGCCGGAGCTCATTCCGCCACGCACTAATTTGGCGCGGCAGAGGATCCTCGCCCCGGCGACGCGCGTCTGCGCGCAAACTGTAGACGCGCGCGAGCGCCTTCGCTTCCAGATCCCATGGCGGTGATCCGGCAAGGAGGTTCGCCGCCTCCCCGGAGATCGTGCGATATCCGCGGATTATTCGGATAGCCATGACCCTCTGGGACGCGACCAGCGTACGAGCCGGCCGCCGCTTCAAATCCGGCGCCCACACAGGGGCACCGTAGAGGGCCATGGATCGCACAATCCCCATGTACAACCTCCGGCAGGAGGCGTTTGGCCCCCCGAGGTTGGGAAGGAGCCGCTTGAGCGCGGCCCCAGACCGTTCCAACTTAGGAGCCAAACGACGAAAATGCTCCGTGAAATTCCATCGGCTGTCGAGGACGAGACCCAGGTACTTCATCACCGACTCGACGCCGATGGTAACTCCTCCTGCCATTATTTGGGACCCATCTGGAGGTGGCGCGTTCCGACGGCCATAAAAACACATGGCCTCGGATTTGTGAAGCGCCACCTCGAGTCCCAACTGCCGGATCCTTGCAACGACTGTCGCGACCGCTTGCGACATCAGGTCGGCCGCCGCCTGATGTGACCTCCCATTCGCCAGCACCAGCGTGTCGTCAGCATAACAAACAATGCTGACGCCGCTCGGGAGGTCGGTGCGTAGCACCCAATCGTACCCGATGTTCCACAGGAGAGGTCCCAGGACCGATCCCTGTGGAACACCGCGCGACACCTCTCGCCGATTCCACACGCCCCGGTGACCGGGGTAGATGACGCATCTGTCCGTCAAGTAAGCCT